TGAATAATTGTGATTACAACTATAATAGCATTATACAAAACTATTTGGTGCCAATACAAACCATTATCTGGAAATCTCCTCTGTTCCGATCTTACCTCTCCCATCTCCACCATCTTGTACTGAGCTAAAGCCTACCTCCTTTCTGTCCTATCAACATTTTGTTGATTTATGTGTCTCCCTCTACCTCCTATTTTAAAATGTCATTCAACCTACTAGCCATCCACCAGACACTCTTCCATTTAGGTGCACTCCACCATGGCTAAGAGACCACAAAATCAGTCCAGTGCTCTAAAAAGCCCAAACTCTCCTCCCTGCACCATGATTTTAGCCACACATGAACCTAATCTCCAGCTGCCTTTCCACAGTAGCACTCAACAGGTAATATATCTGAAAATACTACTGTGGAGGTCCTTTTCTTAAGTTTACTTGCTAATTCCCTGATCTCATTTTTAGGATCTTCCACTTTCCTCTGACGTTGTCATTGGTACCTGTGATGAAGTGCCCTTCACTACTTGTGCCTGGAGAGGACTAGTTGTCAGCCTCCTGCCTTGTGACTATGACCCCTGGGAGAGTTTGCCCATATGCCCCATAACGTTGTTTGGGCATATTGGATTTTTTTGTACTTTTTCTGCCCCTTTAAATTGTGTTGGAGCAAGTTTGCAACTTTAAATTGGCACTTAGGATTCAGCCGAAGTGCCGAAGTAGTCAAAGTGGCTGTCATTCGACAAATGAACACGTGGCGGCGACCATTTGAATTCAGCTGAAGTTTTACCTTCTCCAGACTTCAACTCATTCGACAATTCGAACGCGGTTCGACAATTCGTTGATAAAATCGAATGGTTGCCGTTCGCCTGTTTGAACTATAGTTAACAGGGGAAATAGACCGTCCGCACAGCCTGATTCTCTGGAACTGTTTTGGGCATGAAAATGTGTGTCCCGAACCACTGGACCAATTCTCATGACTTTTGGATATGTTGTTCCCATGGTTATGCTGGTTATAAAAATGTAAGTTTTATTAAGACTGAATGTATATTTTTAAAGTTATAATAATTGTATAAAAACTGTATTTTCCTGCCGGTGATAATTATGTTAACCCATTGTGTTCAGTAATTATATCACAGACAGAGGGGAGGATTTTTGCTGGAATGAATGGGAGTGTTTAACTGTGTGTCGTTTTATGATTGGTTGTTCCACAAGGCCCACGTGGGTGGTAACCTTTTGGGAGAAATGTGTATATATGAGCAATAAAGCCTCAGTGCATTCTGTTCCTGTTTGACCCTCAATACGTAGCCTTGTCTCGTTATTGGAGGGAAACTTCTATAATCACACTGGGGATTGCTATGCTCTGCATACTCCCTTGAGCTTTAATCACTTAGCTCTTCTAAGAGCTGTTCCTGATACACTTTCCTGGAGAAGAGGTCTTCCCCACTCAGTCCTGGATGTCGGAGGTTCATACAGGGTGTAAGGAAGAGGTCTTTCCCACGCGGTCCTGGAAGACAGAAGCTAATCCAGGGAAGAAAGATGGCAAGACTACCAGTTAAGCTACGGCGGTTGTGGAGTCTGTGGTGGTTGTGGTGTCTGGTGCAGTGCTTGTGGTCCTCGGCGCAAGCTAGGAAGCGTCCATCAACAGAAGGTACTCGGTCGGAGTACGGGTGAGTCCTTTACAGTACCCATAAAAACAATGCAATCCCTATGCTGGACCAGGGCACCCGGGAGACAGCAAACTGTCTGGTTGAGACAATCAGAGTGGCAGATTACCATATCTAATCTGTTAACGAGAGAGTCTCCTACTTCCACACCTTGTATTTTTACATGATAGAGAATTTACAGCAGGTTTGGACATACTGATGTGAAGTTTTTTTAAATCATTATTTTTATCCATTCACCACTAGCTGGAACACAGTGTTAAGTATCAAATCTGTTTTTGTTTCTAATTGAGCAAATGTATTTAACATATAATAATGTTATTTAGCTGGTAGCATAGAATACCAAAACATCCAATAATTAAATTGGTGGAAATTGAATTTTCGCCCAAATAAAATCCATTTGAAAAGCCTCATATCGGGGTTAAATTGTTGTTCTGCTCAGGGTATTAAGTATCAACTCCACAGTAAGCCATCTTACTGCCTTACAACAGACATACAGTCATTGTTAACAGCCAGTATTAACAGCAATCTTAAAACAATTATGCATGTACTAATTTGAATTTCCCTGCTATTAATTTCCAAGCTAGCTGATAGATTTTGTTTGGTAAGTTTCTTGCTATAAAAAAAACACTTTTTTTTTATCATTTCCCTTATACTCTACATATAATCCATTGCTCACCAATTCAGTTTCCAGAAATGTTTATTTTTTTTGTTTTAACCTCCAACTTACCTTTTTTCTATTCCATTTCTTTACTCATAACGTCATCATCGTACTCCCTCCCCTGTTGCTGTCTACCTTCTAGTATGATCTAACTACCTCTTTAATCCACTCTCATCTGACCATCATTCTCAATTTGACCCGTAACTGTTTTTTTTCTCGTTGCTCTGGATTTGAAGCTCAAGAGCAACCTTGCTAGAATTTTGTATAAAAGTGCTGCAAATGCTAGATGTAAGCTTGAACTCAGGATTCTTCATTCCTTTTGTATTAATAGGTCTGTATTTTGTGCTGTCTATATTCTAAAAATGATATGCTGTGGAATTTACTTGCACTCTATTAAAATACAATAATAAGAATAATACAAAATAATGTAAGGGGTAGAAACTACTCAGCAATCACCTCATGCAGGCTATTAAACATAACTTTTACTTTGTGGAATTGCTTCTCTAAGGTTCAGCATGCATAAAGTGATATGATGATGAATTTGTCTGGCTTTTTGGCACACTTAGCAATCTAGGCATTGGTACAATTTTACCAAAGGAACATTTCCTTTAACTATTCAATATAATTAAATATTTAGTTTCTGAGATACAAATCTCTCTGTATAATATTTAACTCACTGTTAGAGTTTAATATACTTTTACGGTAGATGTGAAAATGTTACAAATAAAATAGCTGTATTTAACATAGGCAATGGGCAGTCAGGTTTCCTATATATTTACTCTGTTTTATCTTGTTTATATAAGGATATCAAGCACATGTATTCATAACTGTAAACTTTATTAAGAATGGCCACCCACACTCCCACAATGCAAGAGTCACTTCCTGAATGTACCATTGTGCACATAACAACAGGTTAGATATATGGTTCATACCAACTGATAATCTCAATATCACACATTTCCCTTTTTCTTTTAAACAGAAAACTTAAAGTACAAATTTATTTTAAACTGTAGTCTATGTGAAATAACTTCATTCTCTTTTAACATTGTTCAATGAGACGATTAGGTTTTTTGATATATCGACCTGACATTGTTTGCTTTGCATCACTAGCAGGCAAGTCATTCGAGCTTTGTAAAGTTTCTCTGGCATCTTCATTTTCCAGCTGCATTGAAGTGTTCAATGTATTTTAACAGGTTTCTTTCACTGTCGAATTGTTGTGATCTAATGGAATAGCCATCAAATGTCTACGATTCCTACATAAGCATTGCCCATCAGTGGTTTGAAACTACATATGCCCTTGAAGAATATTGCTGGATAACAGTCCCTTCAGTGGTTTGAACCTTGTACTCATACAGGAGTTTGTACCTGAAGATTCTCCAAAGGCTTTGCAGCTCAGTCATAGTATTCATTCCATTTTTTGCTGAGTTTCCATTTGGTTTCAATTACATCTTTTTTGTGGGAAACTTTTCCAAGGTTTCAAAACTGGTATTCGTGTGACCAGCTGTCTGCCAAACAGTAATTCTGCCGGAGACTTCCCACATTTTTAGGGGATAGCTCTACAGCTAAGAAGAGCCAGACATGGATCCTCTTCTGCTTCTGTTGCTGTAATTAGTATGTTTTTCACTATCTTCACTCCAGCTTCTGCTAATCCATTTGCTTGTGGATATCCCTGGCTGGATGTTTGATGTTCAAATTTATAGGTACTGGCAAAAACCCTAAACTCTCTAATTAAATTGAGGATCATTGTCTGATATTATTACCTTAGGAATGCCATATCTCGTCAAAATTTCTTTCACTTTTTTATCACTGTACTTGCAGACTCATCTTCCAATAATGCTATCTCTGGGTAATTAGAGAAGTTATAAGGCTGATTTTTTTTAACAAACAAGTCTATTTATAACTTTTCCCAGAGTGTCAAAGGAAATTCTGTATCCAGTATAGTCTCTTTAGGTAACTGAGGTCTGAATTTTTGGCAAGTCTGGCATTGAGTGATCATTGTCTCAATGTTTTTATTCATGATTGGCCAGTACAAAATATCTCTAGATTGTCTTTTGGTCTTTTTTATACCTTTATGACCATCATGTAGTCTTTTCAGTATTTGACTTTGCAAACTTGCTGGTACAATAATTTTCTGTCCTTTCAAAAGCACCCCTTTTATCACAGAAAGTTCAATAAGGTATGGTTTTAAAGTGATGGCATTAGTGTCTTAGATTTTCCACTAGAAAGTGATTTCTTCACTTTACTAAGAAGAGCTTCCTTTTCTGTAGCCTGTAAAATTGCTGCCCACATTGCATGACTAAACAGAGCTGTCTTCAAGATCAGATTGACATAAACAGTCACCTCTTTCTGCAACTGTAAGTCTTCCATGTTAAAGGGTAAGTAAGCTTGAGACAGAGCATCAGCTCTGCTGAGAATACTCTTCCATACAAATAAACCGGACATTTTTCACATCTGTAAACTAGTGCCAGGGTTTCTTTTTCAATTTGTGCATATGATTTTTCTGTATCCGTCAATGCCCTTGATGCATAAGCCACAGGCATCCATCCCGAGCCTTGGTTTTGAAATAGAACTGCTCCCAATCAATTTTAGAAAGGAATTGTTTTTTTTTCGTAGGCATAGTTATTTCTGAGTAGTTGGCACATTAGTGCAATTTTGTCTGGTAAATTAGGTATGAACTTGCCAAGGTAATTCACCATTCCTAGTAAGTGTTGTATATCCTGCTTATTATCTGGCTGTGGCATTTCAGTAATTGCCTTAATCTTTTTCATGTCTGATAAAACTCCATCTCCAGTGAGTTGTTCTCCCAAACACTGAATTGACGTTTTTCCGAATTGACACTTTGTCTTATTGAGCTTCAAATTATTCTCTCTAGCAATGTCTAAGACCATCCTCAGTCTTTCATCATGTTCTTGCTTGGTTTTACCCCAGATCAGAATATCATCAATGAATACAGTTGTGCCCGGTATTCGTTCTAGAAGTTGTTGCATTGTACTATGAAACACTTTTGGTGCTGAACACAAACCAAAGGACAGTCATTTGTAACATAAGGAGTATTAGTGCAGAGTTTCATGCTTTCCACCTCCAGTGGAATCTGCGTAAATCCTTATGATGCATCCAGTTTGCTGAATACTGTTGCTCCCCCTAACTCCCCAAGCAATTCTGGTAAGTGGAAGTGTTCTCTTAAGATTCTTTTATTCAGTTCTTTGGGATCAATACATATTCTGAGACCCCCATCCGTTGTTTTTTTTTTCGCCAACACCATTCAGTAGGCGTCTTGATTTTCTTTACAATATATTTTTCCTCCATCCTGGCAAGTTCATACTAATATCCCTTAGAGCAACAGGAACATTTCGCATGGCGTGCACTGCTGACCGAGAACCTTCTTTTAGTTGTATTTTATGTTGCATTGGACATTGCATAGTCCTCTTCTTTATTCATTCCATCAATGACATTTACCCTTTGAATCAGGCCTAAAGTTTCACACATTTGAAGACCAAGTAAAGCTGGTTTGTTTCCTGGAACTACCAGAATATTAATTTTATGCATTTGATTTCCATATTCCAGGAACACACTGTACTTGCCAAGCACTGGGATAACCTCCCCATTATATAGCTTTAGTTTGACTGAGCTTTTCAGAAGTTCTGGTTTGTTTTTCAGTTGGTGAAACTTGCTTTCAGGCATCAATTTAGTTTGTGCACCAGTATCTTCCTTTTAGGCAACATTAGTGCCATTTGTGATAGCTTCAATGACCCACTCATTATCTGTATCTTTGGTTAATTCAAGTATTCCAAAAAAAAACAATTCTTCAGATTTTTCACATTCTGACTGATCAACAATGTGGACCATTTTTTTTTAGCTTTACACATCTTCTGAAAGTGATTCCTTTTCCTACATTTTCAGCAGATTTGCCCATAAGCCAGAAGATATTTTATACCATTCTGCTTTCCACATCTGGTGCATAGCCAGTCTGTTACCAGCAGTGAATTTGCTGTTTGTGTGATCAAACTTTTTCCTTTCATTTTATTTTCATAATGTGGATTCACTTTGTTTTTCGCCTCTGTAACTGGCATTACCGGTGTTGCCTCTGTACTGTGACAGAGTGTAAGCACTTGTTCCTGAGCTGCCTCTGAACTTTGACAAATTTCTACTGCCTTTTCCAGCATTAAATCTTTCTCTCTGGGCAAGCGTTCTTTAACCCTTATATTTCTTCAGCCCATGACTAGCTGGTCTCCGATTAATGAGTTACACATTGCTCCATAATTACATGATTTACTCTTCAGTTTTAAGTCAGTGACATACTCCTCAATAGTCTCTGTTTAATTCTGCAGTCTACATCTGAAAAGATACCTTTCATTGCGTCTAGGTACACAGTATTGTTCAAATTTGTCTGGAACAACCTGATAATCATCCCTTTCTTGATCTGTAAATGTGAAGGTGTTGTACACATCTATTGCTGCTGATCCTGCTACAGTCAGGAAAAGTGCAATGTTTTGTTCATCATCCTATAGCTCTAACATATAGTTGGAGTCATTTTTAATTTTGGTGGAGGATTTAACTTTTCCATCTTTATGTTACTGACTGTCGATTGTATTTGTTGTGAATTATGCAGTATTAATGTATATGTCTGTAGTGATCCTCTGTTTGGAATCACAGGCAATTTCGTAATAATACACTTACTTAGTTCATGAGTTGCTGTAGTCACTCTGCCAGAGCTTTGGCCCACACTCTATTTGCTGCAAAGATGTCTTATGGATTTCTTAGAGTCTTACTCCTTGCATGTCAGTTCAGATGGAAGCAGGGGACTCCTTATTTGGACACCATGTTTTATATAAGGAGATCAAGCATATGTCTTCATAACTGTAAATGTTATTAAGAGAATGGCCACCCACACTGCCACAATGCAAGAGCCACTTCCTGACTTTACCATTGTGCACAGAACAACAGGTTAGATATGGTTCATACCAACGGATAATCTCAATATCACACATCCTCCATCTTGTTGTTACTCGATCCCTTCCAGAAATAAAATTATACTTAAGATGATAAGCAAGATAGACAAGACAGCATATTAACACATCAGGCATTACTGCTGATGCTATAAAAAATCCACATTAGATTTATGCATTTCATTTTAAATGAGATTCAATTCGTCTAAATTCCATAACTCAAACAAAATGGGTAATAGATGTGCAGTTTTTGTTTGTTTCTTGATTTGGAGTCCTTACTTGTGGTGCCACAAAAGGAAATAACTGGTGGGGGAAATGTGATTTATGATTAGAGAACCACCACTAAATGTTGATTATATTTACAGATCAAGTGACAAGTGACCAAATGGTAGGTAAATTGTGCCTATCAGTGAACTCCAATATATATGGAGAGTGTGACGAGACCAATCTCGCCACTGTGCATTGGAGGAGCCTGGTTGCCCGCCTGCTGCCTTTAGACTATAGCCCCATGTTGAAATGCTTGATTTTCCCCTGCGAAGACATGAAAGCCGGGTCATTCGGTGCTTGCCCTGTTTGAGCGGTGATACCCCAGATAGCTATGCCATGGAGTCCATTCGTATAATGAAAGACTATGGGAAAGACTTTGTCTCCATGGCAATTGAACTGTATGTGTGTGATCTGGGCGCCATTCAGTAATAATGTGCACTCAGATCTGAGCTATCTGGGGATATGTTGAATGTACCTGTTTTGTGCAATGGCTGCACAGTTATATGTTTTTATGTGTTTTATTGTCTTTTGCTGCCATGTGTTCAATGGAGTTTTGCCTCTGTCCTTGGAGATAATTGGATTACTTCCCAATTATCTCCAGGATAGAAGAATCTGTGGAACTGGTTTTGGGCAGAAAAACCATGCTTCCTTTGGTCACAAAGGACTACGATCTATCTTTTGAACCACTGGACTAATTTAAATGATTTTGACATATGTTTGTATTTGGAGTATGCTGATTCTGAAAATGTAAATGTGAATGTGATGCATACTTTTCAAGTTCTGAATAATGTGGAAAAATTGTATTTCTCTGCTTGTGATAATTACATTACCCATTGTGTAAGGTAATTGTATCACAGGCAGAGGGGAGGATTTTGTGTGGGAGTGTCTGAGTGTATTGTATGTGTTTATTGGTTATGTTCCAAAACCCTGTGCGTGGTACTAAGGTGTATATAAGAACAATAAACCCACAGCTCTGTCTGTTCATTGCTTGACCCTCAACACGGAGCTTTGTCTCGTTCTTGGGGGGATTTACTGTATGCTGTTGGAGACTGATTGCCAGGAGTGTAAGCTGCTTGGGTGCTTTTCCTGTTCAGCTGCTAGCAGCTATTCGTGAGGTTCCAGTTCAGGAATTTGGAGTGCTACTTGGTATTCTGTTTGGGAGTTTGGTGTTCTGCAGTAGCTGTACCTGTGTCTCTGGAAGGGAAGATCTACTAAATGGCGGTTTAACCCTTTTATGCTGAGGGTGCCATTACAGAGAGGTTCACTGGCTTTGATTCTCTTCCTGAGTTGTGTTTCAAATCTATTGTATACAGCAGATACATACTCCAAGGAATCCATGTATGAAGTGGAATTATGAGGCAAAAATTTGGTTCTCTGTTGAGCTAATTTGCATATGCCTACCCAGAATCCCTTGCAATAGTGAGAACACTGTTAAAGTGAGATTTATGTGGGTAAAGCAAGTCTTATAGCTTGACTGGTGTGTATTTGTGTTTAGCAATGTATTAACTATCCACTTACTTCAGGTGGAAGGGGTTTTTATCAATGCTTTTTTCCTCACCACAACTATGATGGTACACACACACACACACACACACACCAAAGCCAACATTTTCTGTCATGCACAAGTTTAGTCCATGTTATAAAGCATCTATACAAGCATTACAGGAACTAAACAAGTACATAATAGAAAATCCAAAAGGTATAAGAAAGTTTATCTTTGTTATCCTAATAACAGAGATACCTCCTAACGGTCCTAAATTCTGAGGTCAGCAGAGAAATGCATTCAGAAAGCATGGAAGACAACAAGGCTGGACAGGGAATAATTTTTTTTTTTTTTATACCAGCCCTTTCATTAATTGTGCCAGTTGTGACAGATATACAGGTGGAGAAAAAAACAAAAGATTAAAAATTATTTAACAAATATGAAGGAGCACACTCACAGGACTTATAAACATACAAAAGAACTGATTTATTCTAATCGGATGTGCACCATCTTACCTTCAACTTTTCATCCTCATAACCTTGAAAAATCCAGTAATGGGAGTAAAACATTGACTAAATGCTGCTGCACGTCTGATTCAAATAAATGTTATTTTGTTTAGTCTTCAGTTCTATGAGTGCACTCTTCATGTGATATAGTTTGACACCAGGGCACTAATACTTTTTGTGAATGAAAATCTAAATTGCAAAATGTGGGCTTCAATAGTCAAGCTGTTACTATAGCTGAGTTGGAATAAATTGTAAATCAGTTTTTTTGGTCTAAATCATGCAATTTAGATTCTCACTTCCTCAAATTGAAAATTTTGTGAAATCCCTTTGACATATGTGAAATTCTTGTTACATTTTATACGTGTGTAATTTCCAAGTATATTATGTAATTATGTATAATAAACATAATAATATTTACAATTAAGCTTGTTTTATATACACACACACATAGTAATATAACACATACAAATTAATATACATTTGTGCATATGTATAGATGCATATTACTCCCACAAATTACATAGATAAAGCAAAACTATAATTAATTTTCTAATTCAATGTGTCATTTAAAAAAAACCCACAAATATAGATACACACAGATTTTTGATTAATGGATACTCACTGGCACACACACACACTGGCATGTAGTTACTGTTTCCCACACATACCCACACTCATTAACAGACAGTGGTGCACACTAAACACACTAATGTATCACTGTATCCCATACAAACACTGGCACACAATTACTAATGCATATTTCCTGGCTAATCATGGCAGCATTT